ATCATATTCTAGAAGCAAGTTTCATGTGTCTTGGATGTTTAATATTGTGTGTGCGTTTGTATATATAATAATTTCTGATTGTGAGTACAATGCAGGAATATTGTTTCAACAGTCAATTTAGACTGCAAACTAGATCTAAAAGCTATAGCACTGCAAGCTCGCAATGCGGAATACAATCCTAAGGTATGCTACTCCCATGCAATGTAAAAACTGACTTCTTAGATGTGATTTTTTTTTTTTTTTTTTTCTATTGTTTTCTAAACTGCTTAACTGAATAAATCACTCACAAGTTCGTTAATGATCTTTCGGTTTTATGTCTGTTGTTTGTATGAAATGTATAGTGATTAATTACTTTTGAAATGAACTGCAGCGTTTTGCTGCTGTGATTATGCGGATTAGAGAACCCAAAACAACAGCTCTTATTTTTGCATCTGGAAAGATGGTGGGTAATAATTACGTTCTGTTAGCCCTGGAGCAGCTTCAACTCTATCTATCTGTTTATTGTTTACTGTTACTATTTCTTTTGATCTCAAGTGTTTTTACCTTTTTTTTTTTTTTTCTTTGTTCTTATTTGTGGGACATATAATTGGATCTACTAAAAGCCTTTCTCAGTAGATTATTAACTATTGAAGTATTTTTTTTGTTTGCTCACCTTAGGTTTGTACTGGAGCCAAGAGTGAAGAACAATCGAGATTGGCTGCTAGAAAGGTATAGCATATCAGAGGGCATGCTTTCAGTTAATAATTCTTTTTGGGAGTGGGTTTAAAGAGAGAAATTTACGAGTGCTTTTTTCTCTTCTTCTTTTCTTTTTGAAATGTGTATGTGTTCCTTTTTCAAACATCAATGGAGAAACTGTGCATATGATACTATGGTCTTTATCTTCAATACATCTTTGTTTCCTCTTTTCTTAATTCATCTTTTTTTTTCTTCAGTACGCTAGGATCATTCAAAAGCTTGGTTTCCCAGCCAAGTTTAAGGTACTTATGCTTGTACTCTTGATTATTTCTTTGATGACACGACATCAGCCTCTCTGCTGCTCATTTTCACAACCTTTTTTACTTTTTACAGGATTTCAAGATTCAAAACATTGTTGGTTCTTGTGATGTGAAATTCCCCATTCGACTTGAAGGACTTGCCTATGCTCATGGCGCTTTTTCAAGCGTGAGTGATGTATCTTCATCTTGTTTATGCATGATAGAAATCCAGTGATATTTGATAATGTTTACTCCATGTTCTAGCACTAAAGAGCCTTACCTACATTCTGCGGTTAAGTGTGATTATCGATTTTCTATTTGCATCACTTGTGGAGTAAACGGAGGAGCACACTTGATTAGAAACAGCTGCCACAAATCTGTCAAAATAAAATAGGGCCTTGAGAAAAATGTAATGTAATCCAGAAGGGGAAAAGCCTTGTATGGTGAAAGGAGTACCCTTATACAACAAGAAGGAAAATTAAAATTTTAGTATGATGAGAATATGTCACATCCTGCTAATCAGTGGGCCAAAGAAACGGAGGAACGCCCAGATCAGCCAGAAAAAAAGAAGCAGAATAAGAAATATACACATAATGCACGAAGGAGAGGATTATCACATCAAGCACAATTACTTGTTTCGCGCTCTATCCTAATTCTTTGTTTCTGGAAAAAAGAATGTAAGAGATTTGGAGAGTTGAATTAGTTTCAATGTTTGAGCACTATCTAATGTTTTTTTTTTTTTAATTGTTAATCCTTAAAATCTGCCCTTTTCAGTTTTTTATACTTTAGTGATTTAGTTAACTTTGGAAGTTGTACAGCTGGGCCTAACCTTAGTGGAGGTTGTGTTATTTGGTCGACATTACTACAGATTTGACTTTTTTTTTTGGCATAAAGATACGTCTTCTCTAATCAGTTTGTGGTTGTACAATCAGTTCACATAACTGATCATTTGTTATTTCCTTATATAAGCAGAGATGAAATTTCCGTATCTTCTTTTATAGAATTTATTTAAAATCTTGTTGAGACAGTATGAACCGGAACTCTTCCCTGGATTAATATACCGGATGAAGCAGCCAAAGATAGTGCTTCTAATTTTTGTCTCTGGAAAGATTGTTCTCACTGGTGCGAAGGTAGTTGAAATGGCTATAATTTCTATTTACAGTCATTTCCTCTTGTTATGCTATTTCGTGGACGTGTCCTTAAATATAAGCTATATACGTTTTCAGGTCAGGGAAGAGACATATACTGCCTTTGAAAATATATACCCAGTGCTCACTGAGTTTCGGAAAGTTCAGCAGTGGTATGAAAATTTGTGCTAATTGCTCCCGCT